ATCAATGGCTCAGTTATTACAAAGTTAGTAATGATATTGTTGGTGGAATGTGGGATGTTGTTCTTATTGTTGTTTGTTTTTTGTTAGAACTTTGTTGTTTAATTTGGATTTTGTAATGGCATAATGAATTAATGATAATGTGATGTTTGTATGTTTTTTTTTTTTTATTTGTAGTAATTTTTTTATATTTGCGGTTAACCGAAAAACCGCACCGCACCGAACCGAATATTTCGGTTCGGTTTGGTTCGGTTTTTTTTCCTCTTGCGGTGCGGTGCGGTCCAGAAATTTCAAAAATTCGGTTTTCGGTTTTTTGCGGTTCGGTTCGGTTTTTTGACCGAACCGCACCATGCTCACCCCTACCCGTGGGAGTAGATTGCTATATATATTAGCTTATTTAATGAGGCGACCTTGCGATGTTCCGTCGGCTTCGATAAGTGAGTCGAGCATTATCGAAAAGTGCTTTCGAGAAAGCACGAGAAGAGAAAAAGTCGTTTGTCGCGTTGATTTACTATTTCGAGGTTCCGATCATTTATTTAGAGAAGCTCGAGTTCGAGGGTGCATATTAATAAAAATAAATGAAAAGTTGTTTACGTGGGTCCCGCAAGGACGCGTGTGACTTCGGTTTACCAAGAATCGAGTTGGGATGTGTAGATAATTCAGGCACTTGCGGGACATTTATCGAGTGTTTCGGAGTTCCGAGCATTTAATTAGAGAAACTTGAATTCCCGTGGGAGTAGATTGCTATATATATTAGCTTATTTACACTAATTTGAGTTCGATTACACTATAAGTGACCGATATTATACTAATTTGACTTCAATTGGACTAATTCGAGTTCGATTACACTATAATTGACCGATATTGTACTAATTTGACTTCAATTGGACTAATTCGAGTTCGATTACACTATAATTGACCGAGATTGTACTAACTTGACTTCAATTGTACTAATTTGACTTCAATTGGACTAATTCGAGTTCGATTACACTATAATTGACCGATATTGTATTAATTTGACTTCAATTGGACTAATTCGAGTTCGATTACACTATAATTGACCGAGATTGTACTAACTTGACTTCAGTTGTACTAATTTGACTTCAATTAGACTAATTCGAGTTCGATTACACTATAATTGACTGATATTGTGCTAATTTGACTTCAATTGGACTAATTCGAGTTCGATTACACTATAATTGACCGAGATTGTACTAACTTGACTTCAATTGTACTAATTTGACTTCAATTGGACTAATTCGAGTTCGATTACACTATAATTGTCTGAGATTGTACTAATTTGACTTCAATTGGACTAATTCCAGTTCGATTACACTTTAATTGACTGAGATTTTACTAATTTGACTTCAATTGGGCTAATTCGAGTTCGATTACACTATAATTAACTGATATTGTCCTAAATTGACTTCAATTAGACTAATTCGAGATCGATTACACTATAATTGATCAAGATTGTACTAATTTGACTTCAATTGTACTAATGTTACTTCAATTGGACTAATTCGAGTTCGATTACACTATAATTGACCGAGATTGCAATAATTTGACTTCAATTGGGCTAATTCGAGTTCGATTACTCTATAATTGATCGATATTGTACTAATTTGACTTCAATTGGGCTAATTCGAGTTCGATTACACTATAATTAATCGATATTATACTAATTTGACTTCAATTGGGCTAATTCGAGTTCGATTACACTATAATTGACCGAGATTGTACTAATTTGACCTCAATTGGACTAATTTGAGTTATAAATTATTTTTTTTATTTTTGAATTTGACTTTTTTGTTTAAAAAAAATTAAATAAAAAATAAAATACAAAATAGATGGATTTTGAAACAAATTTTGAAAACGAATTTTTTATTAAAAAATAATTTTTTATACAAAAAAATTAAATAATTTTTTTATTAAAAAATAAATTTTTATACAAAAAATAAATAAATAAAAAATAATTTTTTTATACAAAAAAATTTAAATAAAATAAATTTTTATAATAAATTTTTTATTATAAAATAATTTTTTTTGTATAAAAAATTAATTTTTATACAAAAAAAATTTATTTTTTATTTTTATACAAAAAAAATTAAATAAAAAAATCTTTTTTATTAAAAAATAATTTTTTATACAAAAGATATTAAATAAAAATATTTTTTTGTTAAAAACGTATTTTGAAAATACGTTTTATAAATTATTTTTAAAAAAATATTTTTTTATTATTTTATATTTAAAAAAAAAAATGTATTCTGAGAATACGTTTTTGAAAAAAAACTTATTTTCGAAAAACGTATTCCCATAATACGCCTGTTTGATTTTGGTCCACTCTTTTTTTTTTTCTTTTTTTTTTTTGTCGAGTTAATTTTTTTGTTTTTAAATAAATAAACTACCCAAGAAAAATGGGGATATAACGGATAAGTTGGGCTACTTTCAAGCCATCACGGGTATGACGACGCAGATTTGTGCACAGAAATCCTCTCCGCCCACAATTGGGACCTCGAACTGGCTACCGCCACCGAAACGGAACCTCCTCTTCTTCACCCTCGTCAGCTACCGCCACCGCCGCAGCTGCTCCTTCTCGGACGAATCAGGAGCCGGAAGACGTTGGCCTTGTCTTGGCCCCTAACGGCATCAACAATCAGCCCCCGGGTCTCGCTTGGGAAATCATCACCCTCCCTTTCTCCATCGTCTCCGCTAGCCTAGGGTTGACTTCCGGCGCAATTGGGTTGGGCGTGTGGGCCGCGAGCGGCGTCCTGTCATATTCTCTGGGCATGGTTGGGCTGAATGGCTCTTCACGGGTCGGGACGAGCCCTCTGGTGCAGGTGTCCCAGTCGGCCTCCGAGGCAATGGATTTTGTGTCGGGTTTCGAGAGGGATTATGGAAGGATGATGCCTAATTTCGTGGCCGAGGGTTTCATGGACGCATTGCAGAGGTCCCGGCACGAGTACAAGCTGCTTTTTGTGTACTTGCACTCGCCCGAGCATCCGGATACCCCACTCTTTTGCCAGGGGACTCTTTGCAATGAGATGCTGACAGCGTTCTTGAATGAGAATTTCGTGGCGTGGGGAGGGAGTGTGAAGGCTATTGAAGGGTTCAAGATGAGTAATAGTCTGAAAGCTTCCAGGTTCCCATTCTGCGCTGTTGTTATGGCACCAACCAACCAGAGGATCGCATTGCTGCAGCAGGTGAAATGCTAAAGTATATTTGTTTTTTTTCTTGTTATGCAGCGCTCGTTCTCATTTTAAGTAGTTGTTTAGGGCACTACTTTTGTTTTCTTTAATTTAATAGTGTTCTCACTTCCCCTCATCAGTAACTCGAACCCATGACCTATCGGTCATAGGTGAAGTGTCTTACCACTAAGCTGCGCTTTGTTGTCTTTTTAGGGCACTACTTTGAGTGCAAGTTCTATGGTTTAAGATTATTAGCTATTAAGATTTCTATATTGAGAAAATGGTCCAGAAATTATGTTTTTGGATGCCAGAGTTGGCGGAAATACATGTTTTTATTGAACAGATGCAAATTGAGCGGTAAATTTATGTGTTTTTTGCCTTGTGCTTATGCCACTCGTGCATAATTTAGACCTTGAGGTTTTCCGCAACATGGTTTGGAGAAGGTTCCAATTTCGTTTTATGGGTGTTGGGATGTAAGACTGTTATATGGCTTCTGCTCCCTCATACTATATACCGTCTCACTCTGGTATCCTGTTGGAAGAAAGATACGGTTGGATTGAGGGGATATTTTCCAGTGAGAGTCTTTCTGAATCCTCTCACTGCTCACTTTTTCTCATTATTCCTAGTTCAGTAGGCAAACTTACATGTTTGTCTGGACAGACTTCCTTCAGGTTTCTATTCTGTTGTTAAGGTTAAGGGTTCTGACTGTAAGCTTATTCTCCTGATTGTGCTACTAAAGTCCAGACCGATTGTGATTGTATTGTGAAATTGTACGTGAAATTTACTTATAGTTTTATAGTTTGGTATCGTGTTGTCTGTCAATTGCATTCTATCGTGTTGTACTGCTTTGGCTAAGATGCGTGAGGAGAAAGCTCAGTCACTTGGTTCCGAGCCTGAGAAAGGGCCTGATGTTACTCAAGTAAGTGCAAACTTCCTAATTAAATTATTTTTTTGGGGTGTTAGTGATATTGAATCCCAAGGTTATTTTGCCTTTAAATTATGTGTACCTCGATAGTTAGATAAGGATGAAACTGGAGGTTTTTTACGTGTAAATAGTCTTCATTGTGAAAGCAGATAAGATTCTTGGTTACATGCACTCTGTTTGATTCCAGTATTTCAGCAAAGGGGAGAATAGAAAGATTGTGGAAGAATCATCTTCCATTTGTTAGGCTTTTCAGTTTTATTTTTAAAAAAAATAAAAAATTGTTGTTACACAGAGTTCTCTGAGTGTGCATATTTGGTTTTGGTAGGAAGCTAAAATCGGACTAAATTCAATGAGAAACTTATATGCATGAACTTGAGAATTCATTGTTTGATGTATTAAAGCAGATTGTTAATAATAGTATCTAGTTAAAGATTTGAGAAATGCGTTATCTTGATGATTCGTCCTTATAATATATGGATTTTGAGTTTAGAAAACCCATTGAAGTTTATGCTTAAGTGATGCATAAAATGGATGTTGTTTGAGATAACACCTTAGGAACTATATGGAACTAGTGGAATATTGTGCTCATAACAACATCATTTCATCATTTAACTAATATATATCTAATAGTTGCCAGCTATTGGCGGATATGATGGACTGTCTCTGAAGAGATTAGTTTGAATAAGAATGCTTTGTTTTGCGACGTTTTTTTAGAAAAACTCCCACTGAGAGTGAAAACAAGTAGTGGATCAAACCTTCTTCTAATCCAGATTAGAAATCTTTTAAAATTTTAAGCTCTATATGTATTCTGTAGTCTTTTAAAATCCACACATGTTCACACCTAGAATTTGAAATAAAGAAAATGTTCCATGCTTTGTATATCGCTACTGATTTTCGGTCTTTTCAGGTATTGGTTCGCTTCCCGTCTGGACTGCGCAAAGAGAGAAGGTTTCATTGCACTGCCAAAATACAATCTTTGTATGACTATGTGGATTGTGGACTCATTAGGTTGCTTGGATGTGAATAACTACAGCCTCGTTTCCAATTTTCCCCGCACTCTGTATGGTCAAGACAAGCTTTCGTTGTCCCTCAAGGAAGCTGGATTACATCCTCAGGCCAGCCTTTTTGTGGAGTTGAACTAGCAGCGAAACTTTGTTGTAGGGAAAATTTCTTATATTCACTTTTACCGCATTGAGAGTGTAACGCCCAGAATATTATTTACTATATATGGAGTTTGACTTTATTTCCATACATAGTCAATTTTTATATTTGATGCAATTATTATTTTTATTTGAATTAACTTGAGTAATTAGTATTAAATTTTAAGCTATGTAGAATTTATTTGATTTAAATTATTAAAGTCAGAATTATATTGCCCAAGTATCGATTCTATTTTTAAAATCGAGCCTTGGAATGATAAAAAAATCTTATTAAAGCGGACTGTAGCTGAATAATTAATTTATTCGAGTTCATTCACTTTCGAGCGAGTTCAATTATTTTAGTTGAGCCCGAGTTGGATGTTATTTTAGTCCGTTTTGAAAATTGACCTTATAGTCGATTTTTAAATCGAGCTCAATTATTTTAGTAACTCGAGTGACTAATTTATTTAGTCAAAGTTCCAATCAACTTATATTACCGAGTAGTTGAGATTTCCTAAGTCTATGTTCGATTTAATCGAGCCGATAGTAGGAAGATTTAAAGCCCAAAAAATTATACAAGCCCAAATCTTGAGCCCAATATCCATAGAAAACCCTAACCTCATTCACCTACTATAAATAAAACTCATACCACACCCACGTCTAGTATTCATCACCATCATCTTCCATACCCTCACTTCAATACATTATCCATTCAAGGGCATAAATTTCCTCCCTCCACCAAGCAAAATCCGGCCAGCCATCTCGTTTTTCCGGTGAAGCCTTCCCTCCGGCGAGTGCAAAGTTGCCGTCGCGCACAAGCTGTCGTTTGCTGCTCTCAAACTCCACCGGTCGCAGCCCCACGCCAAGGACTCGGACCACCACCGTTCCCAGTTTCTTCCTCGAGCCTCGACTTCGCGCCGTCGTCCTCACAAGCTCCAGCAACCGCTGTTCGCGCGCCCAGCTCCCTTCCTCCACGCCGGCGAGCTTAGCCCCGCCGCGACCAGCCTTTCTTCGCCGTTCACAGCGACCCCGGTTCGTGCAGCTCCTATTTTCCGGCGAGAAGCTCAGTCCGACGTCGCGAACCAGCTCGTCAGCAGCTCCTCTTCCAGCGCGCCGCTCGTTTTCCGGCAACCCCGCAGCAGCTCTCCTTCACGCGTCCGGCGAACCAGTCTTTCACGTCATTTCCGGTGTACCCCGACGACCACAACTCGAGCTCGCGCCGGCGACCTCTTTCCCCGTCGTCCCCAGCTCCGGCGACCACAGATCCACCGTCCTTGGTACCATTCTCGTCGGTACCAGCTGCATTACGCCGGAAAGCACTCGAGCCCGCACCCTCGCAGCTCCGTAAGCCCGTTCTAGCTCGTGTACACCAACACCGAGCCCGATCTGTACCAGCGGCACCAAACCCAAGCTAGACTCGACCTTCTCACCTCAAATCCGTCCCCAGCAGCTCCAAGGCCGAGACCCAGAGGCCCAAAATCGGTCTGGTGCAAGAGTCGGTTTATTTTCTTAGCTTCCCGACTTTTCGATTTTTGGTTTGAGCCCGATTTGAGGTAAAAATGGCTTCAACCTAACTCCAATGACTTAGATAAGTTTAATGAAATGTTATAAATGGTTAATTTGAAGATTTGAGCGAAACCTTAATTTATCGGGATTTTTACGAGTTTGGACCGATCGATTTTTCGATCTTTTTATATATAAGTGATAAAATAATTATTTAAATTTGATAAATCATAATTTATTGTCTTGAGGCTTAGGTGTAAATTTGAGAATTTTTGGGGTTCGTTAGATAGGCGAATCGATTTTATGTGTATTTAACCGGTTGAAGCGATTCTCGGTTTAATGGATTAGGAGTTGACTTTTGGTTCGATATTTTGACCATGGACCATGTATGTGTTGAGGATGATGTGTTTTGAATTTCACGAATTTTGGACACCGTCTGACTTAGATTATAAATCGAGACTTTAGCCGGTAAAATACGATAGTTGTAGAAAATTTAGACTGATATGATTTTTAGCTGCAGTTGTTGGATGTAAAAATCCATATAAATCACATAGAAATTAGTGATTTAATTATTGGCTTAAAATGAGTTAGAGTTTTCAAGAAAAACAGAAACCCTAGTTTTATTCGGTTCTATAACCGAAAAATCTTTCGGATCCGAATTTAATCGACTGAACGCTAGTACCGTTTAAATAATTTTAGACGTCGTAGCATAAATTCTTAACGCGTATCGTCGCCTGACCGACTCTCGTTCGATCGTTGGAGTCGAACCACCGAGTGTGTGCTCGTGCACCAAGTCCAAGTCAAACCACCAAGTGCGTGCCCTTGCACTGAGTCCGTCCGACCTACCATCTACGCGTCGTTCCCGTTAGTCGTGGTCCAAGCACGTGATGAAGGATCGCGGTTCTTGTCTATTTGGTGTGAGTAATCGCGCGCCAGGGCCTTCGACTAGGCCCTTTTCTCGGCCTCCTCGGGTCGTCTAGGCTCTTGAACCTTATCGTCGTCGGGGCTCGGAACTCACTTCCGCATCAGCTCGCCCCTGCGGCAGTGACCGTGACACCGTTCCAAACCGTGCATCGGCTAAGCCGTGTCAATCGAGTTCGTGCCGGCCCCGAGTTGCCATGTCGAACTCGCACCACGGTCAAATCGAGCTGCACATAGTCAAGCAAATGATCGACCGACTTCGAGTGAGTCGTTGGTCCAGTTCAATCGAATCAGTGCGGTCAGTCCGGACGATTCGAGATATATTTCAGATAAAAATCTCAGAGATATATTTCAGATAGAGTTTCTGATATTTTTCAGATAAATTTTAGATCCAACCACATTAAGATTTTAAATATAGTTAAGAGTTCAGATAAATTTAAGAGCCAAATATGCTTAAGTTGTCAGTCAGATTAGATTAATTCAGATTATAGTTCCAGACTTAGAAATATTTCAGAGAATTCTAGAATGCCTTAAAGACA